ACCAAACAGTTCGGTCATCAAATTCCGATGCCAGTGTGGCCAAGCTCGAACAAGCCAATTGCGTAAATGTGCTCGCTCAAAAGAGGCCTGGGGCGAAAGCACACGTTCGGACATGGCTACACAAAGCAACGCGGTGATCGGATCGCCCACGGCACACGGGTTTATCTTATTACAATCGGAACCCATCGAATCCGCGTCCATGTCAACGGAAGGTGAAACTTTGGGCTGTTCCATCTCCATTGCTGCCGGATAGAGAGGCCATAGCATCAGGTTGCATGTGTCCATCTGTGTGAAGAAACCATCGGCAAAGGGATCAAATGTTAGTGGGTGGGCGTGAATATTGCCATCACCATTATGATCGTTAACAGCATTCGCGATTTAACCGATATTAGCTGAATTTCTTTTGGTACAGAGATAGTGAATAAAAAACCCCGAATTAGAGGAGGGGAAACCGTGGTCAAGGATGAATACCGTCAAAATTGGAAGTGTTTCAATATTTTGGGTGGGCAAGAAACAACAGACAGTTCAACAAATAAAACATTCGAGCCAAGGAGCCCCTAAAATCACTGAGAGATTGGTGTGCAGTAATAAATATAGTATAAAATAGGGACAGATAAGGGTGGTAGAAGCTCACGCGAACATTCAGTTTATTGTCAGTATGAAAATGCTTGATCTTTGGAAGTGATTGACTCCCAAACCAGTCAATTCATCTAGCCGGTTATTTACAGTGATGTAACGGTACAGTGAAATCAGTTTCAACGACGATTCTGGAAATTATTTAGAGAAATGCTAAAAAGCATTGACTACGTACTTTGATGTCATCCTTCTTGTTTTCCAACTCTTTGCGTCCTCGAGCCCGATCTGCCACAGCATCCGATACTCCCGTGGATTTATTCGGGTCGCATTGTTTTGTTTTAGTTGGACATTTGATGCGTTTCTGTGCGGTGCTTCCGGTGCGGCGCATCGGAGTTCTGATTGTACCAAGATCCCAATTGACCGCAATCCGTGAATTGTTCCACGTTGTTGACAATAGTTCCTCAGCCGCTGAGACTCGATGTAGGTGAGCAATGAAAGCCAAGTAAGTCATGCCTTTCTCGTCTTTTGGTGGAGCACGTTCAATACCGAGAATATTCATTGAAGATGCATTCAATCTGAAATATATATATATATATCGTGAATAATGGGTAAAAGTCTGGATGTCAGTACTATCACCAAATGATGTTCACATATCAAGGGTATAAAAGAAAAACACTGCAATAGATGTATCAAAGATCTATGATACTTTTAGTTTCTGTTCAAGCGGAAAATATATGTAAAGTGGTGTTGGAATATGGAACAAATAAACTCATTCATGGCATTTACGAATTCATACACTCACTTTGAAATTCCCACCTCTTAGCTCATTAGAACTGTCATCAAGACTGTGAATTACTTTGTTCAAAGACATTCTAGTGTCCCCCATATAAATATGCCCCGGATCATGAGACCGGTGGGTTTTTGCGAGAGTTTGCTTCAATAAGTTGTCATTCCGCTGAACGTGATACTGAATAACTTAGATTACTAAACGAATGAACAAAGTAGAGAAAAGACCGAAAGTATAGTTACCCTCTCCCTATGTAAACTTATTGATATTCACTCATTAAAAAACTTGGCAGCATTTCCTTGGGGGTGAACTAAGGAGATCAGTGAAACATTTATGACTTTGATTCGGATATGGTCCCTTGTAGAGGAAAGTAAAGGTGAACTGAGATCCTTGGAAATACAGTGCAGGAACACAAATCTTGTCGAATGCATGTATCACCCTAAGCATTCCAGTTGAGACTTGTCAGAAAAACAAAACGGGACTGTGTTGTTTTGGGCCGCTTTGAGAAGAAGTACACTAAAGTGTTGTACTTTAAATTGTCATTATTTATTTCCCATTTTGTTGGCTCTATTGACAGTAAAATTTGCAAAATCAAATCACAGATATGACTGAAATTATTTGAAACTTGGCAGCCATGTTGGACAAAGTCCTAAAACTTAGTCCCTTGGCTAGTCTCACTTAATAGCAATCCGCATAAGACATGAAAACATGAAATCACAGCTGCCGAATCGTCAGAAAGATTAAACGATTAGGATTACACAGATTGGATAGCATAAAGGTTCCAAACACAATTGCATTTGGGTGAATATCAACGCTCAGAAAGCGAAAACCTGTTTGTTCTATGTGCAAGCAGATCGCGATTGGACCGTAAGGAAGAACCTGCGCCCTCTTGTTCAATCCACTTTGTTTGTAACTTCTACTGCATACTATTTACTATATTAAGTTGATGAGCTCCTTTGCTCAGATTACTTGGTAAGAAGATACCTTTTTTGGGCACTGTTGTTCTACTAAAACTATATACACTCACTGTAAGTTACAATGATTGGTGATATGACACTGGAATCAGAAGCTGTTTACGCACTAGTTTCATGAGCTGCGGGTGGTTGATTCGAACCTCATTTATCTCACACGAGCTTTTCAAATCTTTTGACCATCAGACTGTCGTTGGTATGCTAAAGAATTGATCAAAAACTTCTGCACACTGGAAAATGTGCCGACCTGAATGCATACTGGAACAGATATATAAGCTCACTGGATTGTGCGAGAAAACCAGTTGCCTGGATAGTCTAACGCTAATGTGGGGTACCTGTTTTCACTAACAGTGATCTTCAGTAAACGCGCACTTTTGGAAAATACCAATTAAGATTGATTGCAATCTTACATTTATCTTCATCTCCTCAAAATGGATAAAATTTCACGGTATATCAAATAAGTAAAAATATTATTGTAATTATTATTATTATCATAATAGCTGCTTTTTTATTGCCATTCGTAGTATATGACAAGCTGGAGTATATTCTCAAATAACCCTCGCATGTCCAAAGTATTTTGTTTGACAGAGTTAAGTAATGTTTTGAATTTTGAAATGTTCAATGGCCTCAGTGGGTTTCGAACCCGCCTGCGCGGCATCTATGCGTGCATTCAAATCCGACCGAAGCAACTAAATTTTGGACAATCCAAACATCTCTCATTTTCCCCATTTGGTCTAGATATTCTTCAAAAGAAACAACAAGTGCAACAACTAATTGTTATAACTATTTATTTCGAATTTGATCATTGCTGAAGTTCCATTTTTAGTGATACATCGATTTTATGTCTTTTTCCGTATGAACACGAAAACCTACTCATATATTGACAAACGGTAAACTAATTGTACAAATCCACATCTTGGATGATGTTGCTTTATAAACGAAGGCCCTCTTGAAGCAAAAAGAAAGTACAAATCACATAAAAAAGAATCCTCAGAAATGTTTAATTTACTCATCAGCAACTGACGACCCTCAATAAAATTGAATACTCAAGTTTGGAATAATATTACTACCTTGAGTTCTGCAATGTCCACAAAATAGCATATCCACATGAAGATTAACTATAACAGAATATATTGGCTGTGAATCGTGAATCAGGAGTTAGATCTAACTGCGTCCGTAACTGTAAACCCTTTGTTTTAGTGTAATTTGCGTGACCAGGATTATTAATCGCATAGATTATCAAACTGTTGACAAATTATTTAAAATCGGTTATCATAGCTCGGGTGTACTGAATTCCATTTCGCCTGTTGGCCGAGCTTAACAATTTGTTTGAAAACGTTTCATCAATAGCCGAGATGACATCATCAGTGCTTTTCAATGACCTATTTGTTTTATTTGAAAAACCATTATGAGAAAAGCTCGAACCCTACTTATTTTTTGTTAACCTGACATTCATGTTAATCATGTCTTCTTATTTACCAAATGCACAGAATATTTTTCCGCATTGCGCATAGCCAGTTAACTATTTAAAAATGAGTAACGCCGGTGGCAAACTCCCAAACGTAACTTCATCTGACAAGATGATAACCGGTTTTCACCAAACAATTAACTCAAGGGTAAGGACTGCTGCTCAGCAGTATCAGTAATTCGAGGGCGAACCCATAGCCTGTAATCGTCTCAATTAATCAGGTAATCACCCAGTTCTCAACTTTCTTATCTCGGGATTGTGTTTTTCGACAGACGATGGCACTCCCACAAATTCAAGCAAAACAATGTGTTGCTTGTGATCGAGATATTGGATCTCTGTGTACCCTGGAGTGTGGCATACACACTTGAAATCGACTTCACTAAGTTGCATTACAAGACAAGTATTGGGGTTTTGTGGGAACGTGAAACGCCTTTTATCTCCCGTCTGTATTCGTTATTCAATACTGTGAGATTTTTGCTACTTCCCTCTTCCCCTCTCTGTCCTTTTCATTTCCAGGTGCTGATAATGGAGAGGATGATCCGATTTCGCGCTGGATCTTATCACTCCATTTCACAAAAAGATTTATGATCCACTCTCCGAAGTTATTCGGTGGTAACACGTTTCGATTCCTTTAGCCTTTCTCTTTGCCTTTCACGGAGTAATTCAACGATTGGCATTATTCCCAAATTTTCTAAATCCCAAGTCTAACATTCTTCCACATTTTTAAGGAACAGAGGAATTGAAAGAAAAAGCCTTGCTATTCCAACAGACTCAACTTTAATTGCGTATTATGTTAATTCATTCATTGTTATATGTGGAGTTCCTCTCTTTCAGTATAACTCAGTTTCGCCAAGTTGGTCTATTGTGGTGGCTTTTGTTTCCAGTGTGCATTGTGCTTCTTTTAAAAGATCGCTTGCAGTGCTCCTCCCCTAGAGTATACTTTCGAAGAGTGATAACTCCCTGCCAGCAAACACATTAACTGGTACCACCTGATTTAACTCATCCCCCTTCCCTCCAATGGCCAACACCCTCTTATATCAAATATGAAATTGGATAATCTGATAACCCACTCAACAAAAATACCACTTAAACCTGTGCTCATCAAAGCTCTTTGCCTCTCCTGATGTTACAGAAGTCAACTGATGCACTCAATTGCTTCGGGGAAGGTCAATGAACAGACAGTGTTTGTGGATATTTAAGAGTTCAGTCGGTGTCTCACGTGTGATTAACTACGCACAGTTGAAAACGACATCTACCCATGTGGTACAATTACAGAATAGCTAATTTTTGTCCAGTAGGTAGCCAGACAGCTTAATTCCGTAACTGAAATCACTGCGCAAATTTTGATAGGACAGTTGTGAATATCTTCATGTTTTGTTTTTGAGAACTCATATATTTCTAAGTCGAAAACTTCACTACTGGCGTGCACAGAACTCCTAGGCAGCTCAGCCAATGCATACTTACTTATGACTTGCTTTTGAATGCACTGACACGAGAATCTTTCAGCTTTAGACAAAAAATAACAGAGGAGTGGAAGATGCTATAACAACAAGCAGAAAGAAGAACCAGTAGCCGATTACGGAAAAGGTCCGACGAGCAGCTGCACAAATACGATTAAACTGCTCACTAGACACTTCCAAGCAATTGGTCAACCAATGAAAAAACATACAAGGAAGCGAGAGCGGAAAAGAATTGAATTACAATCGTGTCATTTCTCGTTTCCAATGTGATAGGCATTATTACTTTCACACGAACTAGCAGTAACTCAAATGGATAATGAAAAGGTTTCTGGTTTTGCAACCACGTTGGGTACCTTGTTCGGGTCTACTTCTAAACAACCACTCGAAGTAAACAAATTTCATCAATCGCATGATGTTCTCTCTAGTGAGAAAGGACCGTACCTATAGTAGTTGAAGAGCGCTTTACTTTTATAAGTACTGGTTATGTGACATATTACGGGATAGATTTTCACCACAAAAGGAAACAACTGCTGTGACATGATGGCTTCGATCACTTGTATAGCATTGTTTCATGTAGATTCAACGATCTGTTTGAACCTTTTGCTTATTGACTTGATGCATCTGAGCTTGCATTTAGGTACTGGTGCGTATGTTTATACTTGTTCGTAAATGTATTTATGCACGTATGTACAGGATTCTTGTTAAATCATAGAACGAAGGAGGAATTTACATCGATTTTTGAAAATTTCAACAAGATTTAAGATCCTACCTGCGATTCGTGGGTATTTATATTTTTTATTTTTTATTTTTAATTTTTACTTCCTCTTTATTGAATGCACAACGATACAATTTTCAGGAAGGGGAAAGCGGCCCAGGAAAGGGCTGCCATACAATAAGCAAATGGGGAAAGTCAGACGGTAGTNGTGATGGAATTCGAACACTCGTTCTCCGGGGTGATAATTGGTGACGTTACCACCAGGCCACCACCACCTGCATAGATACATAATATATCCTGCTCTGTAGAGATCATGTATCACTGATTGGCATTCTCATTTGTCACCCTATCGGGCTTTCATCTTTCTAGGACATGGTTTGCCAGCTGAAAAATTAGAATGAGGTTGGTCGTCTTTTAGGCCTCACCATACTGGGACCGTATCTAGTACTGGAAGAACCGCTGGAATGTGGCAAATGTCAGTGGCATATCTCGCAAAACTGATGTGCACTGTAAATGATTGCTGTCTAAACTGAGTATATTCTGGTTCATATTTGGTAACTTTTTTAGCAGGCATGCTAGGGGCTGCAATAAAAGTCTTGTGAAAGATCAATGATATTGAAGAAAAACTTGAGTCACTTCTATGTAATGTTCAGAAAAATCTCTGGAGAAATTTGAAAAGCTGGATGCACTCAAGTGTGTCTCTTAAATCGGATAAAATTTAGTCCCATCTGTCAACCCGTTGCCAATATCAGCATAGAACAGTGCTGAAAACAAATTGCTCTAGTATATTACGAAAGCTGAATAGCTTATTTGAGCATCCGGTTGTGGGTTATCAACGTAATCAAAAAAGCCTGCATTCAACTCAGTTGCACTAGCGACTACGAAAGACGTCTGAATAGAAAAAAAGAAGTAAATAAATCTCAAACGAAGAGAATTGAAGAGAAAATCTTATATTACCAAAGTAGAAAACATCACTTCACTTATTGTACTGGTTTAATGTAAACCTAGCCAATTAGATACCGAGTCTATGGGAGTAAAATCTTGCCAAATTTGTGAAACATTTAAATCATAAATCCTCGGTTCATTAGTTAAATTAGCTTTTTTAAAGGACTTTAAAAGACAGGTGGAAGCACAGCATTTTTATCTAACATTCATTTTAAGGAATACGAAAAAGGAATTTAAATGGTGATAACGTGCTTGCGGTTTCAGACTACTCACGTTCAGCTAATCAATAGATTATCAAACATTTCATTTCAATGCTCCAATGTTCAGTTGTTTAAACCTTTGTCATTAAACTGTGATCATCTAAATCATGAACAATACATTATCCCACCTCCAAATTTGGGCGGTTTATATGTTGTTGTATTTCCTGGTTAATATGGATTTCATCTTCGTTTTACTTATACTGGATCTACCGTGATTGCTGTTTCAATCATGTTTCTCCATGCCGCAGACCCTGTCTTTGAAGAGCTTCACGCATATCTCCAACATCCCATCTTCGTGTATCCGTCTACTTCTCCCAAGCCAGATATTCTATTCTTTATTCAATAAATGTGGTGTGTTAGATAGTAGTAAAGTATTTTTCTAAAGCTTTTATATTCCCTGAAGTGATCTTTGCTTCACATCTAATTTGATTCAACTTCATTATTTTAAAAATTATAGGAATTGTTGTGCAAACTTACTTCTCCTTATGAGGACTTTGTCTTTGGCAGAAAATTTGTAACAACCTATTTACTGTAAGTTTAAATGCCAGATGTATGAACCTCTTGTCAATACTTTGATCATTTTGTAACCGTTGGCCGCATCCACACAGTAACTTTATTGATCCGGTAATTTGCATATGATAAACAATAATCATCGTTTTCGTTGGTTTTAAATGTGATAAATTATATAAGAGAAGCTTCCTGAAGCTTTGGAAGGAGCCGTAAAGATTTCTTATTGCAGATGCTTTTCATAATATTTTATTCGTAATTTTTATTTGTGATTTGCATTACACACCATAGTTTGCAGAAGAGGTGAACTCTACCGTAACATACTGTTCAGTTTGATAAATTGCGACTTTAATGAAGAGAAACTTTCGATTCGCTAGAATAGTTGTGGTATTGAGCCATCCTAGCCCAATCTGCTTATCACCGAAGTCAATTGACGTTTGTGGATATCTAATGCATAAGATGCGATCAGGCCGGGGAGAGATAACAACACCAGAAAATTATAAACTACCAAAGATACACACGCTCCATGATGAAAGAGGAAACAAGTTGGGAAGGACACTATTGTCTCATATTTGCAACCATATATCTACAGGTCTATTTATAGAAAACCAATCACCACAGAACTATTTAAGCACGCATCGATTATCTCTAACAAAATCACAAGAAAGTTACATGAAAATATAATTCTACACTCAAATGGGAAATAAGGACTAGTTAGTTGAATTTCTAGGTTTTCAAATCTTCATATCGGTGAAAAACGGAGTTATACTACTTTTGGATTGCTTTCAAATCGTTCAATATCAACGACAATTCAAGATCAACGGATGAGGGATAATTTTTCTGTCTCAGTCAAATAAAGTCCTTTACATATTATTTTCAAAAGGAATTTCGCCAAACTATAGAAAAAACCTAAAACAGAATCTTGTTTTGAAAAACGGATTGGAATAATTTATTAGAATAGTTCATTTTATTGTTGATGAGGTTACGTTTATTTGTAAACGATGTTTACAATCGAGAAATTTAGAAACAAATCATTAGGAAAATACCAAATTCCTGGATCGTGGCTGGTAACTACTTGGGTTTGTATAATTCTAACACGAAAAGAAATAATAGCACATATAATGTCGTTTTAGTACAAAAATTATATAGTCCATGTATAAGATAGGAGCAATTGAATTTCCGTAGCATGCCTCATGTTTTTACTTAGTTAACAAAAAGACCGTTGGAAAACAATTAGAAAACGTTCTTTGCTGACTTAATATCAAAGTGATTACCGGAGGGGAGATCCAAGAGATTCGAAGACCCGGAGCGGTCACCTTGGTTACCGGCATCACTGGTTTTGAGTCACAGTATGCGGCGTATAGAATTTTCTTCCACACCATATAGTGTGTGCTCATGATGTTAAACTATTTAAATCGTAACTTGATAAAGCTTTGGAACACTTAACCTTTTGACATCCGTGAGTGATCAAGCATATTATTATCATTTTCCTTTTTTAAAGTTATTCAAAAACTTCTGTAAAAGTCCTATAGTTCATGATAAGTTTCAGCTTTGTTAAATTGTCCATAATAAAAAATTAACTTTGATTAGTCAAGCTATTGTAAACGTTCAGTGTGTACAAAAGCATTGGAAGATTTATATATGCCTCGTTAGATGAATCGCTTTATTAAACCTGTAATTTATATCACTATTCATTTTGAAACATTATATGCTTTGTAGGCAAATCATTTTCATCTTCATTGACCGGGAAAATCCTATATTGGTATTGGGTTAAATCTCATTTTTAAATTGACATCTGTCTCAAAATTATAATCTTCCGTATAAAGTAAGAATCAGCCAATAGCTTAGGTAATAACACGTTATTGATTTGTCAACTTAATGAACGGTTTCAGAAAACCTGGTTTCTTGTCAATTGATCTGTTGCCTTCAAATGAAAGAACTATTGGTTAATATGGATCTGAAATTAATGTTGCACTCTATACTTTTAGAACAAAACAGTAAACGTAGTAACCTTTGAAAATTTCCAGGCTCTTTTCACTGTTGACAGTTATGTTTATCGGTAAGGTCTGGGGTAATTTGCCAATTAATTTGATACCGTTTACTTCTAACCTACTGTGACGCAAAGTTTTTCTTCATATTTAGCAGAATCTATGACTCAAAACAAATGTTGTATCTAGAAAGGACCTGTAACTACACATTATATTTATTTTTGTGTTTGTGATATCTTGTATACACTCAAAACGAATAACGTATTCATGAACATTTTATGCGTCAGTTTAAGAAGATGCATTTTTGATGAATCCACTTGGTAACAAGAGTTTCAAAAAAACTTTGTGGGTCACCACCTTTAGCATACACAAGCGTTTGGTAAAAGAACGTACAATTGTGAGTTGTATCGAACGCTTAATTAATGCACTTTTATTGGTTGTGAACCTAACGTCAAAATGACCTGAAGATCGACAAATCTTTAGATAATTTATTGTGGTTACATACGTAAATGACAGATGTTTTCAAAAATAACAGCCTAATGGCCTGTCGCTTATCAAACTTTGCGAGAAACAAGGTATTAAAGTTTTATGTTTTTTATGTTTATGGTTTTGTTGGCATACCATCAGGAGGCATAGCTTTGTAATGAAAGCTGATCCAGTGGGAATACAAAATACATTTGTATTATTGATATACCATGTACAATAAATGAAAATTTACTTCTCTGTTGCACATTCACGTCATTTACCCATCGAAATTACGTCAACACTTACCAGAATTACCTTAAAAAATGCGCATTTTGATATGACGTCATAAACAGATTCCATTAATCGATGTATTAAGAAAAGTACTTTGAGTTTCTAAGACCACAAATAATAAAGAGGAAAATCGGAAAGCTTGTTTTCCAGCACAATCTTTTAAAATTAACTGAAACTTATTGGAAAGATAAATGAAATAAAATTGCGTGAACACCTGTTAATCATTTGTTAATCCTATTGTCTACAACCTAAAATATGTATATGTTAACATGTACACAAGTATGGCCGAACATAATTATGTTCAAAAGAACAATCGAAAGACAATATTTTGCTCATGTACGTGAAAATATCGTACAATGGGTAACGGTATAAAAATTTTTTATAAACTGGAAAAATCTTAATATATTAGTTAGCTTTATCTATAGCTATGTTTCCTGAAAAACATTTTTATGTTATTCGAAATTTCGAAAAATCAAATTTATTCACGAAAGAATAAATTCTCTAAACATAAGTAAGAAGAATAGAAGGAATGCAAATGACTCACTTGAGGCGTATACAAACCCAACAATTGCCTTTTTCTGTCAGCATTGGATACACGCTTTGAGGCAGAACATCTACATGATCCTCCATGTTGTCCGAAAGAACATATTCAAATGCATTCCTCCACAATCGCATATCCTCATCCACAATCATATTTGAGAACACATATTTATTGGAACCAGTTTTGGAACAGTTTGGTGCTTCACTCGCCGCAGAACACCGACTCATGTTTCGTGCGAAAGTAGACAACCTTAGATGCATGTCTGGCATAGAAACTATCCTGAAAGTCTCCGAAAAGTCACAGCTGCGTTTGGTGAAAAGATTCAAATCGATTATCAGCTTAGTGTTCGACATTCCTCGTAACTCGCGAAGACCGACAACCACAAACGACAAACAAATTTTCACCACTGAATTTGACCCACAGTCAACTGATCTTTAGCATGGTAAAACAAAACAACTCAGTTAGATCATCGGACTGCGCAACGAGCCCCTGGTGTTTCACTTTTCTACGATAGCTTGATATTTTTCGTTAAATCTTTCAGTCTTACCGATTACAAATAAGCCATTCATTTAGCTTTTGCCTCGCGGAAAATAAGACGGTTGTACAGTTCAGTTCAGTTCAGTTTACACAGAACCATGAGTGGTCCTGGCCAATCTTGCGTCCAGATTGATGTGTTATTGGCTGTTCTTTTGGCTTCCAACACTGCGAGTCAATAGCTTTTTTCATGCATTATTATACAGGGCAGAGAACCGTTAGGGTGTAGGTTCAAAGAGGCGAGAGGATTTGGCCAGGATGATCCTTGCAGCCCTAAGCTGAGCACAGAGATGGGGCTTGCGCTGAATGCTGGCACAAGCCACCCGCTGTCAGGTGGCGTGAAATGTATCTCAGTAGGACACTATGGATCTCGTTAAAGATGAAACAGATCTAGGAATTCTGGCAACAGCTGATTTTATATTGTCGGATCAGTGTGTCAGAGCGGTGAAAAAATCCTACAGGTGAGCCATTCAGACTAAGATCAGTGTTATCATGCCGTCAACCTGAGGTATTCATACCTCTGTACAAAACTATAGTCAGGCTTCAGTTAGCGTTTTTGTCTTGGCATAGACACCATTCTTCAAAATGGATGATGACTCTCTGGAGCGCATTCAGTGGCTGCCAACGAGAACGATTGGGGATCAGTAGGTCAAAGACTAAAGGCAAGTGCACCAGGATCTTAAACTATTCTTTTTGGTAAAATAAGGCTCCGGAGCGTTATGATAGAAACTTGTAAGGTGTATCCTAGCTTAGACTAGAAAACTTTTTTCCCGGAAGCGCTACATTACGAACGAGGGGGCATGAAGTGAAGCTAGCCAAGACCCCGTTTCCTTTGCTCACCCGATAGTAATTATTTAGCAAAAAAACTAGTCAAATTATGGAGCAGACTACCCGTGGAGTTGATAAAAGTGCCGGTGGTGTTAGCATTCAAGATGGCGGCGGGCAATGGGTGATCTAAACTTGTTCCTGAGGTGGATATCAGACGATCCAACGACTGACTTGAGAAGACTAGAAAAGTGAAAACGAGCAATAAGGTCGCATTATTTTCCTTTGCTCCGCGATCTAATGGAATATAACCTGTTAGATGAACGCTTACGTGTAAAAATCTCTCGCCCTGAAGGTGAAAAGAGGTATCTTCCCCTTTTGTTACTATTCTCAATAAGGACACAAATGACTGGTCTTCGCAGTGGTGGGTGTATTTCAAGTTGATTTTTCGAAAATCCTTCCCAATACAGTGAGTACATTCGACGTAACTCTCTTCCTGCATTGCTTGTTTATTGACGTTTTCTAGCTCACAAACACCCAAACAATTGTTTATCTGTTGACTCTATACCGCCACATGTTAATTTGGCGTGGATAGAGAACATTCTTCTAATTCATTAGCGTATTATTAAGGAACAATCGTTTTTCAT